GATCTAAACCCAACTGAGAACATTTGGGGATGGAAGTTTACAAAAGTGGACATCAGTTCCAGACAGTGGGTGCCCTTCGTGAAGCCATCTTCAACTCTTGGAGCAACGTTCCCACTAGCCTCCTGGAAACACTGGCATCAAGCATGCCTAAACCATTGTTTGAAGTCATCAACAAGAATGGTGGAGCTACTCATTACTGAGTCCTTTTTTGACACTTTGATTTCTGTTTTGGGGTTTTTTTGAGCTATGAAACTTTTGATCAGCTGAAAAAATCATGTTTGAGTGTAAATGTAGTTTTCAGAAAATTCCCTGCTCAAAAGTTCTTGTCTCTTGCACTGATTTCTTCTTTTAACATTGTGAAGCTCTACTTAGAACCTTCATAAGATCCAACAGTGCAAAATGCAAATTCTTGCACTTYTTTGACTGGTCTTAAGATTTTGATCAGGAGTGTACATGAAGGGCTCCATTCAACAAGACAACAAAAAAAGACAGGTGACTTCAAGAAAAGTTTCTATCATCTGTACATCTACGATGCATCATTATGATTGTGTGTTCTGCTTCGTGCAGGACCTTTTTATTTGTGAGCTTCTATCCTGACATGTCATGAATAAGAGCAGGCTTTTGAAYACAGAATGATGATCGAAAGCAAAAACATTGTAAAACAGAATGTATTAAAGAGCGTAAACTTTCTAAATCAAAATTACGGAACATGAAACAGTCTGCAAATCATTTGCATTAGTTGAATCTTCTAYCTCAACAACTAACATGTCTAGTCATAAACCAATTTCAGATATATGGAACGCAAGTGTGTAAAAATGGCCTGCCATACAGTTGAACTTTCGTCGCTGATAATGATCTGTTGCACTCCCAGAGCACATGCCAATTGTTAAATTAGCAAGTTGAGCTTAGGAGCAAGTGAACTCCATACCTTTTCATCTCGGCAGTTAAAAAAAAAGAATTAAGTTTCCTCTGCCTCCTGTGTGAACAACAGAGTTTACAAAAACCAACACCTCTCTCTGGCTYTATGCATGTAAATGCTCACAAGCTGCCTTTCTCCATTATTTTATGCCTATGAAAATGATTAATACTGCCCAGCCCTTCATCACAATCTTATTTGTAAGATGGGWGCTCAAGCCTTTTTTTGTGTAAACAAGAAAATGTAAAACAAGATGTGAGCAGCTTGTGGATGAACTGATGGGTGCAGGTGCATGTGRCTTACTGAGGGGGCTTGACGGGCATATCTTGAAGCTCCTTTTCATATCTCTTCTGCAACAAAACGACACGTTACTGCTACCAAATAAGAAGTTACTTTCATTTAAATCAAATAGACTTAAACATAACTTACATATGGAGCGGCCAGTTTCACTGCATGACCACGYATCTTGTTTTGTTTCCTGAAAGAAAAGCTTTGCTTAGTCCATTTATTAATTGCATGTGAACAAACTGATACGTGAAGTAAATTGTTACCTAAATTTTTGCATCTTTTTCTGATACTCTAAAACTTCACCAGTGTGCTTCTTCTCATACACAGCCTAAAAAACAAATCAGAATGAACCAATGCAACTCTTTTAAATGTCAAGGCTTCAAAGAACAAAAAAGACGGTATTTTATAGTGACTTATAGAATACCTTCTTTTCCTGTGGGAGCTTATCAAACTTATTGTATAATAACTTAAAAATCTTTTGAGACTTCATGTTTGGATGCTTCTCCTTAAATTTCTGATGGTGTTCCTTAAAATAGAAATTTCTGGGTCCCAGCGGTCTTTTTGGAACCTCAGGATGGATCTTAAAGGAGAAGAGAGAGAGGAAAAACAAGTCACAAGTTTCACAACCACAAAAAGTAAATGAAATTACTTAGTATTATTGTGTCGCTTAGCTAGGAGGGGTGTAACAATGCATCGATATATTGATTAAATGATTAATTATTCAATTGTATAAAAGGCAAAACAAAAGTATTGATCCATATCATCATCATCTGCCTGATGTGGATCGACATCATACACCCATTTAAGACATTGATTTGATTTATCGCATCATTTCAACTGCAGACTTGTGAATTTAATGGAAATTGTATTATGACAGACTCTGTGATAGAAAAACAGCTTATTGTCATCCAAACAAGTCAACATAATATTGTTTTGTGATCAAGTTGGTCAGACATTTTTTGTGCGTTACATCGCGTATTTCCCAATTTCCAAACTCAGAATTTATATAAATATTGCTGCAGATAAAACTTGCATCAATCCAATTACTTCCTCTTTTAGTGGGACCTATTTGTCTTCCAACATTGCGGTGTAAGCAGTCTACATGGATGGTTTTCACAAGACAGCAGGAATGGGCGATATGGCAAAAAAATTCATACCATGATATACATATATCAGTGTTTCCCCTACCATTATACAGGCGGGGCGTATTTTTACAGTCTTTATTTTACAGTTTAAATAAATGTTTATCAAATAAAGTTTAATGTTACAACTAATCGTGGATCCCTTTGATAACAAATAAAGGTGACATAGGTACTTTATTATGGTGTAATATTTAAATATATGCCTGAGAAACACAAAATATTGCCCCTAAAGACTGTCAGACCGTCACCCTTGCCCACAGCGTTTCCCCGCTGTACGACTGACAGCATTGTGCTATGACTGCAGGAGAAACAAGGTCCATTGAACTCAGCAAGCTTTACTCTGTGCGTCCTGTCTGTGCGGGGCTCGCACTGACTTTGCGTGCACAGACAGTGTATGACTGTGACATCTGCCGCGCTCCTCCTGGATTGACAAGGTTAAACCSGAACCAGGTCCAAATAATGTGTTTTGCAACTTTTTACTCTTCCTTTGCGCTCTCAGCCACACTGCTTCCGGCTTCCTCTGTTTTGACTCCAGCCGGTTATGTCATCAACAAGAATTACCGCAGTTGGCCGGTAGACTACAGATCTCTATTATAGGCCAAATTTATATATCGTTTWTATTGTGAATTCCTACATGACAGCAAACAGAAGTTGGCCGCACTTTGGTCATGCCGGGGGGTTGCAGGTCTAAACTGAAGCTTGCTCAGTACGTTTCATGTTCTTCTGGTAAAATATCAAGAAATGATGAATTGTTGTTGTCTAAATGGATGCCACAATCAGTCAGGTCAGGAGAAAAAGATTTGCAGTATTACAGACAACAACTTATCACGGATCACAGGGAAGTTACACAAAAAATATCAGAGGATGTTGGTGTTTGTGGCTGGCCAAATTATAAATATATATTTTTAAGTGAAAACTATGAGCAACATTCAAGTATAATATATTTTTTCCTTTTATTAGACATGAGTAGTTAGTCAAAACCTTAATTTTTAACTACCCATTTTCAAGGACAGAAGACATCAATAAACATGATTATTTTCTATGCTTAGGCAATAAATAAAGCTGTTCTTGCTTTGTTAATAAAATGACAATATAGTACTTCTAGTTTTAAAATTGCTATGCCTTCAAATAATCAATTATTTGCAGTTTTTTCTAAATACTTGTCCTTTGCTGCAGGTTCAAGACTGTCCACATACTTTTTAGCAGACTCTGCCTTCCGTACAGAAGCCTTCCTACCAGGTAGCATGGTGAAATTAAGGAAAACAACCTGAGCTTTGACTGTAAATATTTACAGTACAAGTATTTCTGCAATGAGACTTCCAGCACTCCAGTTTTCATGACGTCAGTGCGACAGGTGTGTTGCAAACCACTTACAGTTCTGTAGTGAAGAGGATCTGAAATGACGTTTTTTGCTTCAGCTATCAGGTCTGGTAGACTCCGCAACTTGCGCATCTGAGGAAAAGAAAAAGAAAAAAAAATAAAGTTACTTACCAATAAATTAGTTACACTTTTAGCCATAATTTAAAAAAAAATAAAAAGTTAAATGAACATTATATCATTTACCCCATGAAAAACTTTATTTTGTGGTTTGAACACCAAATGTAAAATGATCACCTTATGCATTATGTTTGTCCACTTTTGCCTGCATTCCTCTGGAGAAAAGGGGTGGAAAGCCACTTTATTCCAGTCTACAGATTTCATCCCGTTCAGATAATTGGTCGTGTCTAACTTCTCTGGGATTGTTTCGTCCAGGGAAGTAAGAAGCTTCAATAGGTTTGAGTTGGTCCATACTACAGATGAAACACAGTTTATCATCATCACTGAGCAGGCTGCCATATCAAATTAGTCGCACCTTTGAGTAACAGTGTCATGCTATTTTAAGCTAAAACCACCTAAATATAGGAGGAAAGTGTATGTGTGTGTGTGTGTGTGTG